TCTCTCTCTCTCTCTCTCTCTCTCTCTCTCTCTCTCTCTCTCTCTCTCTCTCTCTTCGTCATTGTTCTCTGTGCACGTTCGCGGCGCGCTCCTTTGGCGCACCTATGGCGAACCCTACTTCTTCGTTTGCCCAACTACAGCTATGGCGCCCGACTTTGAACAACGGCGGTGGCGCGTGGAGTAACGGGAACCAGCTCTGATACCAATGCAATCAGACCCTCTTTCTTTTCTGCCTCACATACATGCAAACAGATAGCGATTCACACTGGCGCACAGCGTCCACTCAAAACTCAAAGATATGGAACTCGAGAACCCAGTTCAGGCGAAAAATTGCTTCAACAGGCTATGGCGCTTCAGCGCCTGTACAACCCAACTCTCGTTATGATATCCAGCACCACTGTTCGCACACAGTCAACTCTGGATCACCCTGAATACCCCACACACTCGCACACACACTTGCGTCTCTCTTCCTAACTACAGCGGCTATGGCCGCTCCCCCCACTAACCATGGCTACGCTGACTTCTTCCAGCCCTCTTCGACCTCGGGCGCTCTGCAGACCACCTCGCACAAGTCGCTTGAGTCGGCGCTTCCGCATGGCTTATGGAGCGAATGAATGAATCCCTGGACGCTGCCTCTTGATTTATACTTCTGTTGGTCGCTGGTCTGCCCCTTTCCTCCAGGCCCTCGGTGCACACAGTCCCACACGGTACTAGCTTGACTTGACTGCAACTGACTGGACCGGTACCGCTGACTGCACGGCATTGCACTGCCGACTCGATGCAGTCGCACTGCCTAATCGACGCAGCTGGATCTACTTACCTACAGACCTCTAGCCTAGCAGTTTCGACCTCTACACATCTGTAACCCCAACTTGACAGATCTACAGCTCGAACCACTACAACTACAGAGACCTATGACAAGGTACAGTCACTACTAAAACACAGGTCGCGGGTTCAAAACACACATGGGTCTGCTCGATACTGTACACGGGTGCAGGTAAGGTCTAGAGATCGAACCCTGGGATCTGCATCTGCTTCTGCAAAGGTGAAAACAGTTTCAAGTTGTTGTAGCAACTGGACACAACTGGTACAACATCTCAGCGGTAGTCCGAACACTGCCATAACAGTACAAGACATCACCACAGTACGAGATTCACATAAAGTCGCACGCATAGAGTCCTGGACAGTGGCCTGCCTTCTTCACCCAAGCATAAGATGTAGTCCTCATGGCCCTATTGAACAAGGAAAGACGGCTTCAACGTGTTCATGTCAATTCATGGTCAGAGGTACTGTTTGGCAGAACGAGGTCTCATCATCCTTTTAGGGGCATGACTGTCAAAGATGAAAGGACATGAAAACTTGCACTAGTGATGATCCTGACCTGCTCTCATTCAGAAACTGTACCCATCTTGGACTCTCTGGTGTGGAACAACATCTTGGTGAATGATAAGGTAGACTTCCCGTCGTGCAGGAGGGAAGAGACGTCCATCCAGAAGACTGTAATGTGGCTTAAGCCATGAGGACCTCAGCCGGCTACCCTGCGAGCACCTTCCAGTTTCGCAGAAAGGTTTGGCCTATGGGAAAGAAGAAGGCTGGCGGGGCCCGGCAAACTTGCGCCCGTGATGGTTTCGAATCCCGGGGCCAATGACAGTCACGCATCAGGAGAAAACAGCCTCAGATGTACTGGTCGTTTAAACTACCACAACCTCCTCCAGACAGAAAACAAAAGGTTGGCCATTGGATCGTTGATCCGACAAACCAACAGAAAAAGGGTGGGCCTCGCCCGTAACCAGGGCAGTCGTGAAAGGTAGCGACCTCTTAACTCACCAACATCAGCAGTTTGTTGGCTCCCTCAGAGATCTCAGCAATGGTTTCAATGTTAGAAGGATCGAACTCCTGAAGAGATCTGGTAAGGAACTCCCCAGCTGGAGTCGTTTTCACCGCCGGCATGTCAAATACTACACCGTGTACTGGTAAACTCTCCTCCAAGCTTGCAGGCGTGGTGGGTGCAGACTCCAAAGAAGCTGCCTCCTGTTTCTTTATCTCAGCATCGCCAAGCCGCCGGTTATTTACACCTAAGCTGCTTGCTGCTTTTGTCAAAGACACTGCCGCAGTTTGCGGTCCAGGGGGCTGCATCCCACTTGTCATTGTGCCACCTAAGGTCCTTCCATCCAGCCTCCGAGCTCCGCCATCTGCAACGGAAATGGGTGTTGGTGTGAACGACCGACGATCCTGTTCTTTTTGTGGGCTTCCTGCGGCTGGCGCATGCTTGTCCAGAACCCTGCAGAATTCAGAAACATATCATTCTCAGCCTTTGTCCATTTAGAGAAATCTCTTTTGTTAATGGATAGTGTCATAGAGCGTACACACACTAGCACTATCTTAAATGCATCTGCCCGCACTTACGGCCCAACCTGTATGCATCCGCCGACAATTCCATCCAGAAATGGGTAAAACAGTGCTAGTGTGAGTATCACCTTATTCACGGAGGACAGGATTAAAAAGAGAACTAAGAGATTTTATTTTTCATGGGGACCACAGAGTTGCTTATTCATCATGGAAAGCACAGAGCTGCCAACCCACCATGTGCCTAAATAGTACACACACTGTTCAGGAACAGATCATGAGTTTGAATCCTGATCAGATCACAATTATCAGATGGAAAGCACAGTTGTTTGTTCATGGAAAGCATGAGGTCAACAGACAAAGTATGCACAAAGGCATGCTGCCACTGGAATGCCAAGGATCGACCACATCAGAAGAGAGAGCGTTCCTCCTCGCCTCACTCCAATACACATCTACCCAGGGCTACCAGAGGAGGACCTCTCCAAGAACCTCACAAAACAATTGAGGTTCTTGAAAGCATGGGGTTGCAAGGAACCCAACGATGAGACACATTTGTTTCTGGCAGCGAGAGACATCAAAGCAGAACACACATACAAGAGCAAAGTAGATAAAGAGTACACAAAGCCAAAATCACAAAAATTCCTCACACACAGGCACTGAAGCCTCTTGATATAGAAAAGCGGACTCCGCACCTCTAGTTATCACTACAACAACAGTTTGCTGCTTTTCTATACTGTGACGGATTATACTACGTCCCTCCTTACTCTACATACAATCCTACTTTCTCTCTATCCATCTCTCTTTTCTCAGTCCACTCTTCTTCTTGCCCAACGATGCTGCAGAGTACGACCGTTGTATGTGTGCTCTTTGGCCACCGCCAGGTAAGCCCCACTTCTCATAGCTGTCCTTTCTTCCCATTGTCCTCCCAGTACCTGCACAGCCCTCTCACATCCAGCACAGCTATGGCTGCTGCTGGTAGAGTTGCTGCACCGTGGCATCTCCCCCCTTGTGTCGCCAATGCAATGTGCCCAGCCGGCTTTATTATAGTATGCCCGGCTGTCGCTTAGTGCCACGTAAGTTCGATGCGCGGGCCCCCTGCTGGGCGCCGCCAAGGCCAAGGGGCCTTGCAGGGGCAGCACAACCATCCATTTCCATGCCCTTCCGCTGGACACTTTGCAATCCTCTCGAAAGATTATTCTCTCAAAACAAAAAGAAGAAAAAAAAAAAACTCTCAAAAACCAGTTGGCCTGTACACTCTTCTTCGAATCTTAAAAATGGTAGCGGCCGTGAGGGATCACCATCGAACTGATCGGGCCCCGGGTAATTCAGACTTATTAAAGATACTTCTGAGGTCCCGGCAGGTCTCAACCTCAGAGCTGTTTCCCAACAGTTATGTCTCTGTGTGATTCAGCCGAGTGAACTAGGTGTGTACTTGTATCTGAGCAGTCCCTCTCTCTTGACTCGAATACAACTTGGGGCTTATGTGCCCAATTCCAATCCCGATCGGCCACAACCACGTAACAGTGTGTGCCACCAGCACTGTTACAAATATTACTAATATATGTTAATAATATACTAAAGTATGTAAGACACAGAACGAGACGTGCCTGCCTTGTGGATGAATGGCACACACCTCACTATGAGTAAACCAGCCAAGTGTTCAAAGTGCAACTAAGAACATAATGGTAGGGTCTGCCTCTCTGTAGGGATGCGAAAGAGGGGAGAAGATGCATTACAATAGCGACGACCTGTTAGTCGGCAATTGAAAAATGGTTGTCATGCAAGCATTGGGAAAGGGTCCAGCAGGCGTAGCCAAAAAGCAATATGCTATGACGGGAAACTGAAAGACTACTTACTTCATCCTGGCAGCATCGCCAACAGCTAGTGGTCCTTCGAACTCGATGTCCTTCAGAGGCCCAGACGAAGACTGTAAGTAGAACAACAGTGACAAAACAAAGACCATCAAAACAGCAACATATAAAAGCTCAATCTAGGCTGGTCCCCAGGCGGCCCGGCTGGGGAAAGGTCGCCTAGGTACCCTACCAGGCGGCCCGGGCCGGGCAGTGGCCGGGCAGGGTCCCGGGCAGCCCCAGCACATATTATAAAAAAAAAATAACTCGAAAAATTCAAAAAAATCTGGAAAAAACATATGTTGTATAAAATTGCAGTACAAGCAACGTTTGGCTGAGGGTCCCCTCGAAATTCCTTATTAATTTTAAG